GTTTCAAATAAAACTAAATATACAATTCTGCATATTTAATTCATTAATAATCAATATTGTTTATAGAGATTTGATTTGATTGTTTTATGTNTTGCTTTTAAAATTGTGCTGTGCAACACGAAAAAAAAGGGGGAAAATCGTGTTGGTGAACACGAATCAATAGATAAAAAATCGTGTTGGTGAACACGAAATGCCGTGAAACTGGGTTGGACATTCTCCCAATCCTCTTCTGGATCATCTAAATGCTCTCTAGCAAACTTCAGACGGGCCTGGACATGTACTGGCTTAAAGAGGGGGACACGTCTGGCACTGCAGGATTTGAGTCCCTGGCGGCGTAGTGTGTTACTGATGGTAGCCTTTGTTACTTTGGTCCCAGCTCTCTGCAGGTCATTGACTAGGTCCCCCCGTGTGGTTCTGGGATTTTTGATCACCGTTCTTGTGATCATTTTGACCCCAAGGGGTGAGATCTTGCGTGGAGCCCCAGATCGAGGGAGATTATCAGTGGTCTTGTATGTCTTCCATTTTCTAATAATTGCTCCCACAGTTGATTTCTTCACACCAAGCTGCTTACCTATTGCAGATTCAGTCTTCCCAGCCTGGTGCAGGTCTACAATTTTGTTTCTGGTGTCCTTTGACAGCTCTTTGGTCTTGGCCATAGTGGAGTTTGGAGTGTGACTGTTTGAGGTTGTGGACAGGTGTCTTTTGTACTGATAACGAGTTCAAACAGGTGCCATTAATACAGTTAACAAGTGGAGGACAGAGGAGGCTCTTAAAGAAGAAGTTACATGTCTTTGAGAGCCAGAAATCTTGTTTGTTTGTAGGTGACCAAATACTTATTTTCCACCATAATTTGCAAATAAATTATTTAAAAATCAGACAATGTGATTTTCTGGATTTTTCTTTTCTCATTTTGTCTCTCATAGTAGAGGTATACCTAGGAAGAACATTACAGGCCTCTCTCATCTTTTTAAGTGGGAGAACTTGCACAATTGGTGGCTGACTACATTTTTTTTTCCCCCACTGTATTAAAATGTCAGAGACATGATACTCCCTATGCTCAACTCACTGTATATCTACAGTTAAAAAAAAATGACTGTCGTACTCTGTATCCAGTCCGAACTGTAATTCCAGTCCCACAAACCCTCATGGGATTCTGTTAGTTAACCTTATTACTGTCAACGTATCTCTGACAGGAACCAAGAGAATGACAGGAAATACGCCTCAGAGTAAAGTCAGGTCATTTGGGAAGCAAAATGGAGCTGCCATTACTACCTGCAGTGCTAAACTGGCAGACATTTCCAGAGCGATCAAGGTGCATATCCGGCAGAATATGGGTACTTCGATGTCGGATATTTTGCAGAGGGGTTTTGATGATGCCCAGGGCTACAGTGCTGTCAAGAACCCCAGGGGAGCCAGACAGAGGTGGGAAGCCTTGCAAAAAGGTCAAAAATTGCAGGGGAACTACTTTCAAGGTCCCTAAAATTCATCTAGTACAGAGCGAGATGGGGTGTAGCACAGATCATTGTGCCCAACCTTGAATATATTTATAAGGATATGTTGGCTTCAACCTAGGTTTGGAGCTTAAAATTGTCATTGAGGAAACTAAAATGCAGGTATTGTGAGACATGGAGCAGAGTGTCTGAGACTAGACATGCAAAATGCACAGTGTAACAGGTGTGTTGTTCAATATGTTTATCCATAACTACCCCCGATATTCATTCATCCCCCTACGCTGACCCGTGTGTTGAGCTAGTAATTTCCAAGGCCATGATTCATTGGACCCTTTTGCTAATAAAGTAACAAGCTGTCAATAGGAGCTCAAGGTAATTTATGTTCCCTGTTTGAGCAATGATTCCCCTTCACAGGGACAATAAGACTCTCTCTCGCCGATGATATTTCAATCCGGGAAGCGTGGATTGCTGAGGTGACAGGCATTTGCTTGCTAAAATTAGGATAATTATTTTTTATCTTAAACATGCAATGTGTGTTTTTTTGCCACTAGGGGGGTCTCAATCAAAACAATAACAAAAGATGAGCTCACAGCCCATGGGAGGTTGTTGTTGCAGTCATTTGTTATCCTTCTTTATCGTTGAGGATATCTTTACATGGAGCCAAATTATCCATAAAGGTTTCTTACTTTAAAATAAAACAGTGAGTAAAGCTGGTGAAAACGCAGAATATAGATGTTACTTCAGTGTTCCCCGGGGTGGGCACAAGGAGGAGCGGCTATGAGCTAAAGGCTAACAAATGCTTAACCTGTTTCTCCGATAATAAAAGATCTAATCATTCAGGAGGATTGACCACAATGAAAACAGAAAATGAAGCACTTTTACTTCAAAACAATTTCCCCCCCTGGTCAACACGTGGCAAAAAAGCTACGAGCTAAAAGCTTTGCGTGCTCAGGACGAGGTCACTAAAACTTAAAAATATGGTTTAAAAATGGCACTTAAACTGGATAGAAAGTAAATTTATGTATCTTCTGGCATTCAATGTTAACGCATACTGAAAGGCAATTCATCTCCAAACAGAAGACCAGATGAAATGCAACATTACCTTAATTAAAATAAAATACTTTTCTACAACATTTGGTATTATGTAAGCAAACAACCCTTTCTCCTAAAAATTACGTTCCCACAGAAATAAACTGCATTCTCAATTACGTTTAGCTAGAAACGTATTTTCTCCCACGTGACGTTCGTTATGAACGTATCTCAAATACGTTTATTTTCTACAAATCTTCTAGAAACATATTTTCTCCCATGTTACGTTTCTTATTAACGTACCTTAAATATGTTTATTTTCTATATATCTTTGCCATTTATTGTCTTGCTTATAATAATGATAATAGTCATTTATAAATATCATTTTAGAGCACAGATTTGAAACCAGTAGGCGAGGCTGTAATTTCACCAGCTGTTACTCTCATGAGCGAGGCAGAACATAATAGTTTTCAGGGACATGCACACATAGACTCTAGGTAGTGCTTGAGCACCTGCCCGTTTTTGCCCTCTGGACAGCAATGTGCCCTTTTGAAAGTTCGTTTTTTACAGTTTTTTTCTTTTTTTTTTACAGTGTACTGTATATGGCTCATGGTGACATCGATCAATTCTGGATTAAAAAACAATGCCCCAAATGCGCGTTGTAATTTTGTCAGACATCCCCACACGTGCCCCGCGGCACTCCCGTACGTGCACTGGCTGCAGCNCCCCGGGGCTTCCTGCCAAACCAACCCTGTCTCCTAAAAATTACGTTCCCACAGAAATAAACTGCATTCTCAATTACGTTTTAGCTAGAAACGTATTTTGAAAATACGTTTCTAGCTAAAACGTAATTGAGAATGCAGTTTATTTCTGTGGGAACGTAATTTTTAGGAGACAGGGTTGGTTTGGCAGGAAGCCCCGGGGTGTCTTGGACCTAGGAAAACTGGGAGGAGGGTCAAAACTCCAGTAAGAATGACATTCAGTACGTTAAGGACCTGCGAGCAAAACTCTATTCAATGGGGCAGATATCACGTGAGAATTTGCTCCAGGCCCAGCAACGTCAGCAGCGCCTGTACAACAGAGGGTCGAAACTGAGACAATTTTCACCAGGAGATAAAGTGCTTGTGTTACTCCCATCATCTAGCTCCAAATTACTCAAATTACTGGTGTGTTCTGACATGGGGGGAGCAACACAGATTTACCACCTTAACCTCCTCAAAGCATGGAGGGAGGTGGCGTCTGCTTCCCTGGCCACCATGCTGATCGAGAGAGATGAGGTCCGGAGGTAATTAAGAACAACAAATTAGCCCCGGTCTGTTGTGACGACCATCTCTCACCGGGTCAGAGAGCGGACGTTGCCTTGTTGCAAAAGCAGTTTGCCGATGTGTTCTCCCCGCTGCTAGGGTGCACCGGCCTCATTCACTACCACATAGAAACGCCCCCCTGTGTGACGATTCTTTCACGGCCTTATCGGCTGCCTGAGCACAAAAGGAAAATTGTTCAGGCGGAGCTTCAGGCCATGCTAGAAATGGGAGTAATAGAAGAGTTCACCAGTGACTGGTGCTGCCCCGTTGTGCTGGTACGTAAGTCTGACGGGTCAATCCGGTTCTGTGTGGACTATCGCATGATTATTGAGGAGTCCAATAACTCATGGATCGGCTAGGCACTGCACGCTTTTACACAACACTGGATTTAACAAGGGCTATTGGCAGATTCCCCTTTCTCCGGAGAAAAAACTGCCTTCTCCACTCCGTATGGTTTGTACCAATTTGTCACACTTAATTTTGGGTTGTTCAGTGCTCCAGCCACCTTCCAGCGGCTCATGGACTGGGTCCTGCGTCCCCACTCTGCATATGCTGCGGTTTACTTGGATGATGTCATCATCCATAGTGAGACCTGGGAGCATCATATACAGCAGGTGGGGGCAGTGCTCGAGTCCCTGAGGCAGGTGGGGCTCACGGCCAACCCGAAGAAGTGGGCGGAGGAAGGTATCTGGGGTATCACTTGGGCGGCGGGCAGGTGCGGCCACAAATAGAAAAGACGGCTGCCATTTCAGTCTGTCCGGTGCCCAAGACGAAGATGAAGTTGTGTGTTGTCTTAGCTTGCCTTCCCTGCCGCGTATTATACTTATACCATTGGAATCTGTGGAATCTCAGCTTTCATATGATATCTAGTTTGTGCAGATAGCATGAAGTATAACATATTCCTACCGTGAGTGATTAGTGCATTAGCACCCTTTCGCTTAGTGCTAACTCAGAGGCTTGGCATTAGACTTGTGTTTTGTTTAGGTAAAAATTGTTCATATCGTCAGTTGGCTGAGTTTCTTCCCGTTAAGTGGGTATGACACATTAATAGGTTGTTAAATGTTAAGAAGCCCTGAGACACAGTTTCGTGAACATTTCGTAAAAAGCCGGCGGGGGCTATGGGGCTTAACAGGATAAGCAGTAATCAGGGCCAACATTTTAATATGATCAACTAAGTGAGGATTTAAGGTACTATATATCAGTGCTGGGCAACTTACAAGTAGTCTAAAGAGAGGCTGGCACTGGTTCGATTCATTGGGTGGTTTGTCAGTGTGAAGCCTGAAAAACACAAACACATAACACAACAGATAATAAGAACTGAACCAGGGGCTTGCCCAAAACATTTTACAACATGACTGTGAATTATTGGGAACTATGCTGGGCAGAAACATCCAAGTCTTTAAATAAGAAAACATTCTGTCCGGATGTTGTATCTTATGTAGTTACCATAGGCAGCAGGGTTGCCCTTGGATGCAGCCAGGTTTGCGCGCAGGATGGCATTATTCAGGACGTTCAGGTATGTCGGCATGCTGTGGTAACCTTTGTTGTTGTAAAGAACCTGGAGAGAAGCGCTGTCAGAAGCTGTTTATAATGTATTTGAGATCTTCAATTCAGAGCCTTACCTGAGCTGATCTGCGAACTGCTATCTTGCGAACCATGGGAGGTATGTTTCTCCCAAAGGACGCTGGGATTGATTTCTGAATGTTCCCCACTGTTAATCCACCATATCTATTAAGAACAAAGTCCGGTTTGAAAACAAAACATTTTAAAAGTATATATATGTTTGTACACGTATGTTTCACCTACGGTGTGTCACAAGAAATATGAATCATTTTTGGTCTTTTATTTTTAAATGTGTAATCTGACTGTATTTTGTCATTGTGTTTTTAAATGTGTCGTTCCATTGAATTTTCTTATGTGTGTTAAGCACTTTGAGATGCCTCCGTGATTTTCTTTTATGAAAAATCTTAGAACTGTGGCTGGCCACAGAATACACAATAAACCTCCAGAAATATGTCAGCAGCTGAGGACCAACTGTAGCTAACTGTCTTCAAGGTAAGTTGGACACATATAATTGCATTTGAAAACAGATCACTGGCTGAAACCTGGCAGCGTCTATCGTTTCTCCCACCCAGTTTAGATTTAAGCATGCCTACTTCTGCATTATGCAAGCATCAACGCAACAGAGTGTCATGGCGTCGCCGCCGGCGTTACGTCACAGCCTCCCGCCCTAGCATTGTTATGAATGACACAAGGCTCAGGACCCAAACACACAACACCAGAACCAGGTCAGGATTAACAAAGTGTTTTAATAAAAAAGCAAAAACGCTCACTTGGAGGATCAAACCTGAGAAACTATAAGATCAAAACGCTAAACAAAACATCTACTTGGACTATCAAAAAACGTAACAAAAGGAGTCTATCAAAATATACTTAACAAGGTCAAGAGGGACCGCTGGCAGACTTGGTTAGACAAGACGAACTGGCACAGGACAAGGGGAGACGCAGACTATATATACACACAAGATAAGCAGTGGCGTTTACTCCTGGAGGCCAAGGGAAGCCAGGCTTCCCCTGTTTTTTCGGATTGTGGTTATAATTTTAATAAATAAATAAAAACGTTTCGGTAATTCTTCTGTGCTGTGTGTTGCTGCCATCTCTCCCCCATTCTCATTGGGTATTTTACAAAGAGTGAAGCAGCAACCCTGAAACATTATATTGCACTCAATGTTGCGAGAGGAGGCCAGCCGAAATTGGCATCCCTTGACAGCTCGCATACGAAGAATGCGAGCCTAGAGGTGAGTCGCATTTTTTACAGGCTCCTACTACCTGTTAGCATCTAGCTATCCTGCTTACAAACATTTAACCACCCCAGCTTGTACAACTTGACGCATCCTTTCACACTCAAGAATGCCATCAAAACATCCTGAGGAAGATGTGCTACTTCAAAGAGCTAATGCAACAACTTCTGCGCCGGTAGCCAACAGCGTTTGTGCTCCTTCCCAGGCCACTGTGGAGTCAACTCGGCATCCCTCATCCGGTCTGGCGACCTCCTCTTCATACCGTAAACTCCTCAAAGAGGCCCTGCTGAGACACTCTGGAAGTTTTCTGGGCCCTGAGCCGGCAAGGAAATCCCCTCCCAGCTCAGCTGTTACTGTCCCACCACAACACTCTCCTGCTCGGTCACCTCAATCAATGACTTTCAAAGAAAAAAAGGTCAACGTGGACCATGATTACGCACCTGAATTGCAGAGAAGGAGGAAGCAGTATGTGGAAGCCAAAGCAGCACTTAAGGAAAGAAACATAAGATTCCAGAGCCCATTCCCGGCCAGACTAAAAGTGTTTTCTGATGACAACCCAGTGGTCTACAACTCGGCTGAGGAGGCAACAGCAGACATGGTGAAGAGAGGGAGACCAGTGACGGTCCTAAAAATGACCGTCGCTAATGGACCAGATTAACCGGCTGACCTGGGAACCCAGCAAAAAGCGGGGAGATCAACTGCACCCGAGCTCCAAGCAACATTTCAAGGAACGGTTTCGAGGCTTTCGACATCGGGATACCTGATAAGTAGCCTATGTTTCATAAATGCCCACTTTAATGGATGCTCCCTTCTGAATATCTTGGTTAAAAAGAAACAACAATAATAGGTAATAATAAGGCTATTTGTTTTCTTTGCCTTTACTATTATTATTTTCCTCCCTACCCAAAGGTTAAGACTAAATTGAATAGAAGGCTTATGCCACGGGCACATGTGGGCCACATTTTGGGTCGGTTTGCTACTCTCTGTATACTATGGACAATTGTATCAGCTTAAGGGCTGAAGAGGGCCCCCTTCCATCACTAAAAGGAAGAGACTTTCCCTCCACACTCCAACATTCCAAGGCCCAATACAAGGCCTTAAATCTGGAAGTCAATGACACTTATGTTTGTGGATATTATTGTTATACTTTTTTTGGTTATAGTTTTGGATTTTATTAATGTTATATATACAACAGGGGATGTGAGAAATGATTTAAATGCAGGAACTCATTGATTTAAAATAAAGGCAAATAGTCATCATGCAAAGTAAAGGGTCAATTAAAGTAATTACATACAATGTGAACGGTCTGGGAAATCCAATTAAAAGGAATAAAGTAATGTCAAAATTAAAAAGAGATGGAGCAGAAATAGCCCTCCATCAGGAGACTCATCTAACAGAACAGGAACACCAAAAACTTAAAAAGAGGAATTTCACTCCATACTCATCCTCTTACAGAAAGGGATCCAGGAGGGGCGTAACAATCTTAATCTCCAGTAAATTAAATTTTGAATGCACATATGAAAAAAAGGACAAAGATGGGAGATATGTACTTATTCGGGGAAATTTGGAGGGTACTTTACTTACCCTCCTGAATGTATATGCCCCCCCGGGATCTGAATGGTCATTTTACAAACACATTTTTGAAATAATAACATTGGAGGCCCAAGGAATTCTAATTTGTGGGGGAGATTTCAATGTTAGACTTAACCCAACTTTAGATACATCAAAACCCCTTTCCTCAGGAGGGAAACAAATCACCAAGAACATTAAACTGATGTTGGGAGACCTACGGCTCTCAGATGTATGGCGAGACATAAATCCGTCTAAGAAAGATTTTACCTTTTACTCACACCCACACTCTGTATATTCAAGGCTTGATTATCTTTTTATGCATCAGAAAGGTTTTTATAGGGTTCAAAATTGCAGTATAAGGACCATGGACTTATCGGACCATGCCCGGTCTCCATGGCATTACACCTAGGACTAGAAAGGAAAAGCACAATCTGCAGACTGAACGCAGGAATTCTTAACCAAATTAGGCCTCAAATCAGGACCGATATAAAAGATTATCTGAACG